GTGGGCGAGGCCCGGGCAGGGGTGGGCGGGCCGGGCCGGGCCGGGCCGGGCCGGTAGTGGGTGGGGCCCGGGGCGGAACGGCTGGGACCGGGTCGGCCCTGGGAGAAGTGTCCAATCGAGGCCTGGGCCTGGAAGTTTCGACCCGGTTTTGCCCACGGCCAGAAGCGTCGAAGCGCAGCGACCGGGCTCACACCAGCGCCCCTCGGGGTTCCGGTCTCCAGGGACCGTCCCTAGCTGCTATGGTCGTGGGCTTGCGGGCCATCGGGGCCAAGGGGCCCGGTTGGCTCTGGCGCGGACCATGGGCCCCGCTTGCCGCCAGCTTCTGCAGCCAGGGGCCGGACGGGGCCAGAAGGCCGGAGCCAGGGCCGCGACCCACCAGCGTGAGGCAGCGGGACGGCATCAGGTCAGCGGCGAGGCCGCGGGCGCCTTGGCCTTCCCTCCCCCGGGAGTGGCCCGCGAGCCTACAGGGCTGTTCCCAGTTTGCGGCGGAGCGGGGGAGGGGCGGGCGGTGGAGACCTGGGAAGAGAGACAGGCAGAGGAAGCCAGGCATCGCGCCCCCGTCATCCCACGAAGAGTCCAGTGGGGGCTCTGTTAGTGGTCAGTGCCGCCCGCTGTTGTGAATTCCCGGTTATCCGTCACTGCAGAATCCAGCTGACGGGAGGAATCGCGCATACCGTGCTTAAACAGGTCCCTTGCCTAGGCACAGTAGCATTTGGGACCCTGCAGGGCTCACACTGAGGGGTTTCAACTACGACTGCTTCTGAGGGCCCCAGCACTCCACCTAAATAGCTAGGGCAACCCGGCCCAGTTGTCATTGGACTCTCTGGCTCTGCTGGTGGCCGCAAGGCTGCTGTGGCCTTTGAGAAAGCCCTTCACTGGAGGGTTCTTTGTCCCGCAGACTTGACCTGGCTCCAAGGCCATGTCAGGTCTAGTGGGGCTGCTCTTTGGCTCTCACCCAGAAGTGCAGGGTCAATAAATAGGATGAAAGACACACCATACTGAGTTCTGCCCTTTGGCTCAACAAGCTGAAAACCCATAAAACCATACCAGTGCACAGCACACAGTGGCAACTGGACGATGAAGCAGTAGAGGCTGAAGGGCCCCTAACCCCATCCAGGCCTCACCCTGACATTTGCCTGGCCAGTTAAGGGCCCACTGCGAGGCCCACCTAGCATGGCTAAGTATTTAAAAGTTACGGATTAAGCTAACTGCTTAACGTGTTTTCTTTCCTTGCCTTGACAAGTAGGCCTTCATAAAACCTGGGAGGCCATGTTTGAATTTACAGTCCCCAGGCTCCTCCGAGTCCCCCCAAAGCTGTGGAGAGCCAGCTGCTGATCTGCAGTTTTTTTCTCTTCCTCCTACCCCCTGCCACCTCTCCACTTCTCCTTCCTGCTGCTCTGCCAAAAACTTGGCACACGGGTCTGCAGACACCCCGTCCACACACCTGTGCTCTCACCTCCTGCAGACAACTCCTCTTGGTCACCCTGGGCCTAGGGGTACCCACTGCTCAGCCTGGGAAGTCCAAGGTCTCGGGTAACTGCAGCAGGCGTGGGAAGGGGACGCGACTTCAGGCAGGCATATCCCATTACCCCCAGTGGTCTCCTGCTGACCTGGAGGGGCACAGCTGGAAGAGGGCCCAGAGCACAGGGGCGCGAAGCACAGGGCCCAGGCAGGGCCCGGGCAGGGCCCATCTCGTCCATTTTCAAGGGCAATTCTGCTTCTGCAGATCTGGTCCATCTGGTCAGAAGCCTGACTTGTGGCGTGGTAGCCAGATGACGAAAGGAGGCCTGATCGAGTTCTCCAGAGTTAAACGTGAATCAGAAAGGGAGACAGACTATTGGAACAACCTGCCATAAATGCTGAGAACCATTTAGTCAGAAAGAAACCCCCAAATTCAGCATGAAAGCAACACTATGTTGGGCACTAGGTAGGTGAACTTGAGCAATTCAGTCATGCTTCGAGTGTCCCTTTTGAAAGCGGTTCATCTCAGCAATGCCACTGTCATGCAGGGAGGGCCAGCTATGAATTAGGTACTGCGTTAGGCACAGGAGGGAGCTCTGAAGATGGCCGGCATTTAGGAGTTAGCAGAAGGCTAGGAGCATATGGAAGAAATGGAGAAGGACGGACCAGAGGAGGACTGAAAAGCCAGAAGGAGAGCATGATCCAAATGGCATTGGATTTGGTTCTGACAGTCAGGAGCTTCCTGGGGAGAACAGTTTGAGTGGAGTGGCAGGAACAGAAGCCTGGGTACACTGGGTTGAAAAGTGAACTCAGCAACTTAGAGCACTCTGACAGGGTGTGTACCGTGCGAGCCAAAGGATTAATGGGATGCATGTGAGCAGACACTGCCATGCAGCATGGGCATTTGGGGGCTGGCATCTTTTTACACAATTTGCCTGAGGCCTTCGAATTTAATTTAAGCATATGTCACGGATGGGATGACAGCTTTTTGAGTTTGCTACAGCAAGCACACTCATTATTTTACTGGAAGGTTTATCAGCAGTTCTCTCACTGTGGCCTCCCTCCCCTGCCAAAAACAGTATATAGGTTTCAAACTCTATCAGCTGCAAGTCATTTTTTACTTAGGAGAAACATGTACATGAGAAATAATGGTGAATATCACAGCCACCTGAAGATGGCAGCACACTGGAAATGGTATTCCATAGAAAATGGTATTCTTTTTGCACTGAAATAAATTCAGTCATCGAAGTGATTTTCCAGAAAAAGGTGGCCCAGGAGGCTATTTATGGAGGATCCAAGTTGCCACATAGTGATAGGAATATCAGATTCACAGAAAAAGAATGAGGAAGGCAGAAAATGTGGGTGGAGACTGATGGGAAACATAAAATATATAACAATAATCTGGTGTTTGGCTCACTGCCTGTTTTTTATAACAGCAAAAATAAGATATTTCTGTGTATAGGCAGTAAGATGACAATACAGATTATTTTAATCAGCATGTGGGTACCTTAAAATAGTGGGCAGCCTTTGAATGTCAGCTTCTAGTGAGAGGCCGTGTCCAGAAGAGCCTTCTTGCTGTATGGTTCTGTCCTTTTGTTCTTCACGTACCATCCCATTCTCAGACAGCATGAATTATCGTGCAGAATTACAGGATGCCACTATGAAAAAGATGGGGAAATGCTGTCATCTTTGCATGTGGGCAGCTACATCTTGGCTGCCTCTTCTATGCAGTGGGTGGGGGGAGATCTAGGGGGCGGATTTTCATTCTTGGCTCTTTTCCTAACCTCATTCTTTCTGAAGAACCACAGGAAGAAGTACTTTGAGGGTAGCACTGCGTGCCAGACTCCACTGGCTCCTGCCATTGTCTCACACACTTCACAGTGTCAGTCTGGGCAGCGATGATTCTGGAACGACTCTGACTTGCCCTTTCTGTTGAGGTGGCAGTAACGTTTCTGACGGCAAACCTGGAGGAAAAGAGAAGCAAATCGAGGGAAGAGAGAGAAACCCAGCCTTCATTTCAGGAAGTCTCCTTGTTTTGACTTAGCTGTAACTCCACAGAGCTGACAGACCCTCTCAATTGCCTCTAAGCACCCGCAGTTCTCTTTTCTAGTGTTTCAAAAATAGCTCTTAAATGAGAAAGGAATTGCAGGGGTCCTCGCTGGTTTTGACTGGCGCCTGACCCAGTAATTTAAAAATGTTCTTCACAGGAGCATTGTCCTGAGCAATCCAAAGAAGAGGAATGCACTGTCACTGGCAATGCTGAAATCTCTCCAAAGTGACATTCTTCATGAAGCTGAAAGCCAAGATCTGAAAGTCATTATCATTTCAGGTACTTATCTGATATCCATCCTCAGGGTTCTGCAGTACCCAGAAGAGGTTTCTCAAGATTCTTTCATTAACTGGGGCATTGCCTCACTTAATAGGAGAAACGTTTTGAAGCTCCTTTACAAGAACATTAATTATGGAAAGCTCTTGTGTAGTGGGGGCCTTGGTGGAAGTTATAGCAAAGATTACTGTGCAGAAAATAAGTGTCTCTTCCTTTTTGTTAGCTACGAAACACTGCCACACTTTGCTGTGCTGGTCTTTCCATCGAAATCAGAGAATCGGTTTCCTCAGGGACCTGACAAGATGGGTTTCATCACTGACCCTGTGGGTATACTACCAGCTCAGCTGGGACCAGGCTGCTAGGCCATTTGATTGATTTGTCCTTCCTGTTCCTACCAAGCTTTTAACCAATATCTGTAGTCTACTTCATTGGCATCAGGGTGCCCTACTTTTCTCATTTCTTTCCTTACTCTTTTCAAGTAAGAAGTTTTACTGAGTTATCTAGTGATGATGGTGGTGGTATAAGTAATATCAGTATATCAGTATCAGCATTTTAAAGCACCTACAGAAGAAAATGGATGATGCTCTGTGATGTACTTTTTTGTTGTAGACGTTAAGGATCAGCATTTCCGGAGGCAAATACTCAGAATATTCCCTTCTTATCTATGGCCGAATATAAGTTTTCAACTGTTTTTCATGGCGAAGGGAAAATAAATAGGACAAATATATTTCAGGGGCCACGGGGGTATAACCTGGATGTAGTGAAGGCAGCTAAATTCCAAACAACACAATTTCCTCACTTGTTTAAAGGAAATAATATCTGTCAGAACCACAGCAGAAGGAAAACATGAGAGGGCGCCATCAGCTTATCAGGAGGATTACATTTTGTCGTTAATGACAACGACAAATAAAACCACATCCTCAGATCCCCTCATAAAAAAAAATAACGGGGTTCTCTTCATACTCTGACCTTCCTGACTGCACCTTGTATGGGTGCCCATTATCTGTAGCCCAAATGACAGGGACACTGCCGAAGGCATGGTGGATTTTCATGGATCTATATAAGTCAATACTTTCAGGCCAGACCATGTCCAAAAACAAAAGTGTGAGACCAGAGAGAAAACTCTGAAAAAAAAAGTCCACTCACCTAGGTTACTGAGCCTTCTCCTTTGTGTAATTGCATGTTTTCATTGGCTTCCACCACGGACCTTTTAGAGTACAGATGCCTCACCGTTTGTATGGCCATCACGAAATACTGGCTATAACTTTTCAAGTGAACTATTCTTATCAAATTGGATCATTAACTTTCTGTAAGTGTCCACAGCATTGATACACCATTGTTCACTAACGTTATTCAGTAGACAAATAAATGAACTTCCTAGTTCTTCTGTTTATACCTTTTTATTTTCTTTTCTCAACTGGATTACATTTGCAGCTGAGGGTCCTGTATTTTCTTCTGGGCATGATTTGAAGGAACTGACAGATGAGCAGGGTCCACAATATCATGCTGAAGTATTTCAAATCTGTTCTGAGGTAAGCCAGGCAGACGGTTGGCACTGCAAGCCTGAAAATGATAATTATACATATTAAATATTGAATTAAGCTTCTGATTTACAGGCAAGGTTTTATCTGTGAGACATAACCACTGCAGAACTACTAAAACCTCTGTGGTCATTGGTGAATCCTTCATCCAAGCAACAATTTGGGTTAGACTTTTAAGAAGCGACCATGGTTTGCTGTTGATCTTGTAATATGACAAGAAAGAAAAAAATATGCTGGTATTGATAGCTGTCATCTTCAGCATCATGGGTTATGTCTTAAGTAAGAAGTAAAAGATGAAAATGTACATCTTTAGAGAGAAAGAAACTAAGTATTGTAATTAAACATTTTAAACAAACTATTAATGGGAAAAAAATTCATAAATGGAATAATAATGATTTTTAAAATTATTTTCAAACCCTTCTTTCAACCAACCTTTATAATCACCACCTCCAACTAGGAAATTTAACCTCTTCATTTTCACTGTCTCTTTAACCATCTGAAGGAGGGAACTCACCAACAGATATAGAGGAGAAAGAACAAAAAGTTTGGGATGATTTATAAATGTATCAAATCAACCCCTGATAATCAAAAGCTGAATATAGAATCCAACTTTAAGTAACATAAGTTCATTTCATGAGTATTTATTGAGCACCTGCTATATGCATACTTGCAAGATACTGAGGGAAATAGAAGTAAAAAAGTTTCCTGCCAAACTGAAAATGGAAATCTAGTTGAGAAATAAGACATAAAACAGTCATAACCTGACCCTAAGATTACTTAGCCTAATTTTTCATTCATTCATGGACTTATCCATTCTTTTATTTGGTCATTAATGACTCAACGAATATATAACGATACCTACTACATAGACAAGACAGAGGCGAGCAACAGGAGGGAGTGGAAGGTGACTAAGATACCTTCTTGGCCATCATTTGTTTTCCTTGCCCTTCCAGAAACCCTCAGGAGATCAAATTATAGTTTTCTCATTTTATGGAAGGACAAACCAGAAAAGTAATTGACTTGAGGCTTCATGGAGAAGAGAAAGCAAGCGAGGGCTAAGATTTAGGTCTTTTGTTCTACATTAATGATGTTTATGTAATATTCTGCTCCTGTATTTGCCAAGGTTTGGTGCTTTAAAAGTTATTTTTCTACTGATACCCAGTATGTTTGACCAAAATAGAAAATCATCAAAGAACCAGTAGAGCCCTTCCATCCTCCCAAAAGGGCCTGCTTTTATCGTTCTGCTGGGTGATCTTCATGAACTGAGAAATAAATGGGCTACCAAAAGACCACAGGGAGCCAGGGCTTCTTCAGAAGAGAAAGGCCAGATTTCATGGATGCTTCCAACCCCTGGATGCCTCCAACCCCTGGATGCCTCCACTCACTGAAAAAGACGCAGTGCCTAAACGGGACCAAGCCCCAATACAGTCAAACAGGAGTGAAAGTGCATTGATTTCTTTAACACTTTTTCCAAGAAAATCAAAATTGTCCTAGATAAACATGAAAGCCATGAACTTGCGCAAGATTTCAATTTCCAAGTGTAATCAACAGGCAGATTAGAACAGAATGAACTAGCTATTTTATGTTGGGTTCCTGCATGAGAACATTTGATTTTAGAAAGGAAGACAGAGATATCTGAACAGGCTCAGCATCTAAAATCTATGGCAAATTTGTTACAGACCACCGGGACGGCATGATAGTTAATTACTTACAAATCAGGAATAGGGCAGGTTGAGAATGAGGAAGCACGGGGTTATGGAAGAGTGACAGTGACCCGTAGGAGCTGCTGTGGCAGCTTTCAGTAGACACCTGTCCTTGTCTCTCTTCTTCTATCCCAGGAAGTCTGAAGGTGGAAACCCCAGTCCAGGAGGACAATCTTCTCTGTCCCCTCACACCCCACCACTGAAATGACAATGGGACAGGACCTCTCGCTTTTGGACATAATGTGGAAACCTCAGTAAAGCTGTTCAGTGAGGTCAGGGGAGAATTAAATCTATGTCACATTTTGGAGCAGACAGGACTAAAAGAAGTCCTGAACTCAGGAGGTAAAATAGAAGAAATAATCAATCCTTGACTAACAAGGGATCGATTATCCAGTTGCTTTATTCTCTGGGTTCCCTTTCTGAATTGGTCTCTTACTATATTTTAAAACATTTTCTAATTATAAAAGTAACAAATACTTGTTACAGAAAATTTTGAAAATCTAAAAAAAAAAAGGAAAAAAAATTACTAATATCATACCATGATCATACCACCCAGAGAAAACCACAATAAAAACATGCATTATATTTCTTTTTAATTTTTTCCCATATATACCTATTTGTTTGAATAATCACATGTAGGTGCAATTATACTGCGTCATTGTATAAATTTCATTTTTTGTATTATATATATTTTTTAATGCCTACAGCATCTGGTATTCCAAGGTGGTCTCCCATCCAAGTACTAACCAGGCCCAACCCTGCTTAGCTTTCAAGATCAGATGAGATTGGGCACGTTCAGGGTGGCATGGCGGTAGACATAAATTTCATTTTAATGAGACTACAGCATCCCATTAGATGGATATAGTTTATTTACTTATTTTTACATATTTATATTATTTATAGCTTATTATTATAGAGTGATGATTTGATGAACGACTTTGTCCAGACAGCTTTTTACTCTATTTCAGATTACTTCTTATCAGTACGATTCCTAGATTGAAGGTATGAATATTTTTAAAGTTGTTGATAGATAATGGGTATGTATATTGGCCTAAGTATTTTCCCACCAGGTGGTATGGAATCCTCCCCCCGAGAAAGGCCAGATTTCATGGATGCTTCCAACCCCTGGATGCCTCCAACCCCTGGATGCCTCCACTCACTGAAAAAGACGCAGTGCCTAAACGGGACCAAGCCCCAATACAGTCAAACAGGAGTGAAAGTGCATTGATTTCTTTAACACTTTTTCCAAGAAAATCAAAATTGTCCTAGATAAACACGAAAGCCGTGAACTTGCGCAAGATTTCAATTTCCAAGTGTAATCAACAGGCAGATTAGAACAGAATGAACTAGCTATTTTATGTTGGGTTCCTGCATGAGAACATGTGATTTTAGAAAGGAAGACAGAGATATCTGAACTGGCTCAGCATCTAAAATCTATGGCAAATTTGTTACAGACCACCGGGACGGCATGATAGTTAATTACTTACAAATCAGGAATAGGGCAGGTTGAGAATGAGGAAGCACGGGGTTATGGAAGAGTGACAGTGACCCGTAGGAGCTGCTGTGGCAGCTTTCAGTAGACACCTGTCCTTGTCTCTCTTCTTCTATCCCAGGAAGTCTGAAGGTGGAAACCCCAGTCCAGGAGGACAATCTTCTCTGTCCCCTCACACCCCACCACTGAAATGACAATGGGACAGGACCTCTCGCTTTTAGACATAATGTGGAAACCTCAGTAAAGCTGTTCAGTGAGGTCAGGGGAGAATTAAATCTATGTCACATTTTGGAGCAGACAGGACTAAAAGAAGTCCTGAACTCAGGAGGTAAAATAGAAGAAATAATCAATTCTTGACTAACAAGGGATCGATTATCCAGTTGCTTTATTCTCTGGGTTCCCTTTCTGAATTGGTCTCTTACTATATTTTAAAACATTTTCTAATTATAAAAGTAACAAATACTTGTTACAGAAAATTTTGAAAATCTAAAAAAAAAAAGGAAAAAAAATTACTAATATCATACCATGATCATACCACCCAGAGAAAACCACAATAAAAACATGCATTATATTTCTTTTTAATTTTTTCCCATATATACCTATTTGTTTGAATAATCACATGTAGGTGCAATTATACTGCGTCATTGTATAAATTTCATTTTTTGTATTATATATATTTTTTAATGCCTACAGCATCTGGTATTCCAAGGTGGTCTCCCATCCAAGTACTAACCAGGCCCAACCCTGCTTAGCTTTCAAGATCAGATGAGATTGGGCACGTTCAGGGTGGCATGGCGGTAGACATAAATTTCATTTTAATGAGACTACAGCATCCCATTAGATGGATATAGTTTATTTACTTATTTTTACATATTTATATTATTTATAGCTTATTATTATAGAGTGATGATTTGATGAACGACTTTGTCCAGACAGCTTTTTACTCTATTTCAGATTACTTCTTATCAGTACGATTCCTAGATTGAAGGTATGAATATTTTTAAAGTTGTTGATAGATAATGGGTATGTATATTGGCCTAAGTATTTTCCCACCAGGTGGTATGGAATCCTCCCCCCGTCGTGGGTGGCAGACAGGAGACAGACTGTTCAACTCTAATCTCAGTCAGTGGACTTTTCTTAAGTAACTGCAGTTCATTAGGTGACAGGTGACACTCAAAGCTGAAACAAAATCTTTTCTTTCTTTGCAGCAAGACTCCTGAAGTTCTTATGCCTTCTTCTCCTTATTCCAGTTCACCGCAAATGAGCTCTGTCATTAACCATCCCCACTGTCATCTAGAGAGCATGAACCCCCTAAATCCATGAACAGTTTGGAGTGTGGGTATATCTATGTGCATTCTTGTGCAGAGAGAGTCATTGGCATTTATCAGATTTTCAAAAGGTGTCCCCCCCAAAAAAAGTCAAGAACCATTCCTGTAAAATATGATATCATATCCTTAAATGTATAATTGGTTATTTTATAACAAAGCTGACAAATATCAAATTTTATGACTACAAAAGGTAAATTCCTTGGGCCAAATCAATGAAGGTCGTTTTTCTTTGAGTTGCCATCATGGGAAACAAGCCTCTCCTTCTCCCTTCCCTGCCAGGGTTCAAAGAGCAACCATTTATAAATTGAAGTTACCATAGCAACACAATCTGTGCAGGGTGTCATGAAAAAATGGAGAAATAAACCAAGTTATTTCATAAGCTGAAAAATAAGTTAAAGTTCTGGAGACTTTGAGGGGCAGGGGGTGTCACTTGAGCAAGTACTCAGCATCCCTTCCTTTGCCAATAGTGCTGTTTTAGGAATTTCGTTTATTTTGATGACAGCAGGGTGTTCCCAAGCTTTTTAATAGAATTGAGAAAGTATTCATGGTGGTAATTTGAGAAGTAATTACTATGGAAATTGCCTTCCAGTTCCTTTTCCACTTGAATTTTTCAAGGAAGTTCCAAATACTAGTTTCAGACTTTTAACATGAGAGCCCCATACAAGCTCAGTGAGAACAGAACTATTTGTTCCCCAGAGATCAAAATTGGCTCCATTCTTCAGTGGGGTTGCTAGGGAAGTAGTCAGAGGGGACTGTAACCTCCCAGAGGCATTGTATGGGGTGGACAGACCAAGGGCTGAGAATCAGACAGATGCGGGTTTAGATCCCGCAGCCACTACTTGCAGATCTTGTGGCCTTAGGCCGGTTCCTTCCCCTCTGAGCCTTGAAGTCCTGGTTGTAAAATAGGGTTCCTTCCTCCTGGGGCTCTCAGGAGCACCAAGTGGTACAGCGTCGGTATTTAATGCAAGTTAGTTCTCTTTGGGCCTTCTTTTACCCATTTTTCATAATATTTGATACAGTGATGCATACGGAAAGCACTCTGAAACTGTAAATTCATATGAAATAGAAGCGTTGGTGTTTTGCCTCACCCTGGGCTGGATGTTAACTGGATGTGTTTGCTCCTTCAGGTTATGATGCTGATCCAGAATCACCCTGTCCCTGTCATTGCCATGGTGAATGGCTTGGCTACTGCTGCTGGGTGTCAGCTGGTTGCCAGCTGTGACATTGCTGTGGCCAGCGACAAGTCCTCGTTTGCTACTCCGGGTGTAAACATCGGGCTCTTCTGTTCCACCCCTGGGGTGGCCTTGGGAAGAGCAGTGCCAAGAAAGGTAATTTAACTCCTGCAGCCCCCTCTCTAGTTGTAACCCTCCAGGTGCAGGTTCGTTCCAGAATCCGCCTGTTAAAAAGTACAGGTTGAACCAAGACATTCTGCTGAAAGCATAGATGGCAGGATGCACTGCAGTGTCGTCCTCACATCTCACGTCGGGGAGGGAACAGGCGGCTTTTCACAGTGCACTTCACATCGTGATCACGCGTTTCACTCTCACCTGGCCCTCCGTACAGCTAGCTAGGGTTTCGGATTTGTTTTAGTTTCGTAAAGGCACTCATTTTCTGTAATATTATTTGAAATGCAGTTGAGATTCAGTTTTGTTACACAGAAAGGTTGCCCGTGAGCTGCAATAGCATGGAGACATATGCCAATATCAAGAGCAAAGGATATGAGTGTCACTGGCTCAGGGTATGCCAACAGGCTGCTTGGTTCCAGAAAGGATTGGAAGCAGCCGATATACTGAGTATGCCAGCTTTATGAAGGTTGTATTCAGGAGCATGAGCGTCCTGTGGCTGGCATGGTGACTCTGCCCCAGAAGCAGCAATATTAAACAGTTGTTTTGTCGTCGCTAAACACAGTGAAATCTATTTTCTTCACCAAGCTTTCTTCCTTCCTATAACGTCACAAAATAATATTTACTGAACATCTCTTAAGTAGAAACCAGTGGTTTCCTTGTTCTAGAAAAAAATACATCCTCATTTTCAGTAGGAAATCTGTTTTTAAAAATGGGGGGTGAGGGGAAATCATATACAATAGCTAGTAGGGAACTAAATTGCTTTCTACTGTATCCATTTTAGCATCGACTATGAAAATTAGCAGTTGCTCATATGCCTGAGGCACAAAAGAAATAAGACCCAAGGGAAATCAAACCACAGGAACAAGGCAGTTAGGGAAGCATTCCTTTTTTCATGGTGCTTCCTCATTAGTTTTTATAGAGGTGTGTGTTTTTGAGGAAATTCTGAACACAGATACTTGCAAGCACATATGTATGAAAACTGGCTGAATGTGGGCTCCACACTGCAAAAGGTGACCTGTCAAAACACAAGAGCTTGCTAAAATGTCCTCAGACCAAGGAGTGTTTTGATCTTGTCGGGTAAATGTATATATAAATTTAAAGTAAATGTATATATATTAATTCGATAAATATTTCTTAAGCCCCTACTTTGAGCCAGTACGTTAAATTAAAATACATTACAAATTGTCAGAGCTTATTAATAAACTATCTTATAATTGTGCAAATCAAATCACGAGGCCTTTTGCATAGTGAAATGTGGTTGTCTGGTTAGCCCACCTGCAACTGTTCATTTTCAACACCTGACATTCTGGAACATTCCCTGTTAAGGCATGTGTGCCCTACTGTCAGGATAAGAAGCCATTCTTTCTTAAAAGAAACTTTAAAAGTCAAGGCTTATACTTGAGCCCTAAAACTTAAACATTATGTCATATTTGGCAAATTTTAAATTAGTTTTTGAGAATGGAGAATGTGACAAAAACAGGACTTCCCAGGAAGCCCAGTTCTCAGAAACACGCTACATAATTCTCCAGCACGACAGTAAGGGGAAGGACGTTGTAAGAGCCAAAGTAGCTCCCCCTCTGACAGTTCTGGGTGGGCCAGGCCCACTCAGCAGACGGGTGGAGAGTCTCCCGTATCGTCCCACTCAGATCCCTGACCTGTGCTTCTCCCGTCCTGACCCCCAGCCGGCTCTGAATCACTTAAATTGTAGCATTCTTGTTTTGAAGTCTTCAGAGTTTTGTCCTAGTCAGCCACGTGAAAGTGGTTCAGACTTGTAACAGATGTCCCTGCACGTGGGGCTCCAGGATTCGGGGCTCCTTGGAGGCGTGCAGCAGAGACATGATTTGTGGTCGGTAATGATGAGCTGAAATCACAGTGCTGATAATGGGAGTTTAGTGGAGGAAAATCATCTGTCGGAACTTAAGGCCTTTACCAGGTTCATGGGCTGCAGATCTCACCTGGGCTGCCCCTTGAGGAGGAAAACTAGGGATTCACAAAAACATGAACCTGAACGAACACTACCTGCCTGGCGTCACTGCCAGACTGCACCCTCAGGAACACATCCACACACAGGCCCGTCACCCGTGTGCGGATGGGGCACACGTCCCTGTGCACATCCACAGGGAGGCAAGCGGGTACTTTTGCAAACTGGCCTAGTTGGGAAGCTTGGCCCTTTTCACGCTGGCCAAGGCCGCATGTGTGGATCACCAGTGCCCTCTGCTGGTCACCAGGGGAAACTGCTCAGCTGTGCTAGAGATGGAGGGCTGCAGTTAGTCCACTGGGAGCAGAAATGATGGCGTGGAGCCTTTGTGTCCGAGCCAGGCAGACCCTGAGCATAAATAATTTTCCACGTTTGTAAAGTGTTTCTCTCCTCTGGCGTGAGTTAAATAATGCATCTTCATTGCATCATATAAACAACCTGCCTGGTGCAGCTGCTCCCTTCCCTAGGCAGTGCTGGCCTGGTTCAGAAACGTGGAGCCAGTGCCTCAAGCAGTTGGCACCACGAGAGAGCACATGAAAGATCCGAACCCTCTGGTCTCAAGCCAGTCACTTCTCTGCAGTAGGAACGCTTGCTTCCACCACTTACCTATGGTAGCTTTGTGTATCTGTACAATCTGATTTCCTAATTGTCTAATTAGGACAGAGGAGAACTTCCAATCTAATCTCGTGACTTAAAAAAAAATCTAAATCGATGGTTCAAAAATGGGAGCAATATTGGCTCAGAAGGACATCTGGCAATGCCAAAGTCATTTTTGATTGTCACAAGTTGGGAGTGGGAGATACTACTGGCCCCCAGGTAGAGGCCAGGGATGCCGCTAAACATCCTACCATGCACCAGACAAATCCACATTATCTGGCCTAAAATATACAGTGGCACCAAGATTGAGAAACAATGATCTAAAAGCGAATGCCTCCCAAATTTTATATCTTAAGCGAGTCCCATTATCTCTCACTGCATAACAAACCACCCACAACTTAGTGACTCAAAACAACAACAGTCATTTTCTTAGCTCTTGAATCTACAATTTGGACAGGGCTCAGTTCGGAAAGCTTTTCTCTGCTCCACGATGTCTGTGGTCTCAGCTGAGAAGATTTGAAGATGGAGGAGTGACAGCTAGGGGCCATCATCTGAGGGCTTGCTCACTCACATGTCCAGCTGTTGAGACTGCCTCTCAGTGGGGACCTGAGGTGGGACACTTAGTGTAGCCTCTCAGTGGGGCTTGGGCTTCTTCAGAGCAAGGCAGCCGTGTTCTCAGGCTGAGCTCCCAAGACAAGGAGCCAGGTGGAAGCGGTATCACCTTTGGACCTAGCCGCTAAAGAACTATCACATCACTTTTGCTATACTCTATTTGCCTTCATCCATTCATTCATTAAATCATTCATTGATAAATATTTAGTGGGTTGCCTGCTATATGCAAGGTACTCTTCTGGTACTGGAGATACAGAAACAGAACAATAAAAAGAAATCTCTGCCCTAGTGGAGTTTACATGTCAGCAAAGGCGATAATACAATAAACAAACAAACATGTAAAACATACAGTATGTTACATGATGAAAGTGCAAAGGATAAAAATACAGCCCGAAAGGGAGGATAGTGCTGAGGTTCGATATGCAATTGTAATAGGATGGTCATGGAGGACCTCTCATTGATGAGGTGACGTGTGAGCAGAGACCTGAAGGAGATGAGGGCACGAGCCATGAGGACACCTAGGAACAGAGCATGGCAGGCTGAGGGAACAGCAAGTACAAGAACTGAGGAGAGAGCATGCTTGGCATGTTCAGGTAACAGCAAAGGTGCTAGCGGGGCTGCAGGAGAGTGAGCCAGGGGACAGGGAGAGGGAGGCACCTCCTGCCCGGTGTGTTTCTTTGCATCGGGAAATCCCTCTTCTAAATCATAAAACTGAGTTTCACGAAGCTGGGCTTTGCACAGCACAGAGTCCAGGTACACTACGTGGCAGGCGATAGAACAGGGGAGACTGCAGAGCGTGGGGAAGGCTTGCTCCCTTTCTCAGGCCTCAGGACTGCGGAGGG